ACGCTTTGGAGACCCATTCATAATAGGGAAGTCTTTTAGAGATAAGTTACATGGATGGCCAAAAATCAGCTCCAAAGATGGCTCTGAATTAAGAGAGTTTGCAGACTTCCTTCAGAGTTGTGAAGCTGCAATGCCCCACATAAAAACATTAGAAGTCCTAAATGACTGTAACGAAAGTCAGAAAATCCTATTGAAACTGCCAGACTGGTTAGTGTCTAGTTGGAACTGCAAGGTGATGGAAAGTAGACTTTCAGAAGCCAGATACCCATCATTCAAAGAGTTGGTTGACTTCCTGTCAAAGGAAGCAGATCTTGCTTGTGATCCCATCTCATCCATTCAAGCAGTCAAGAGGATAGAAGGTGAAAGACAAAGGCAAGAACGTAGTCGAACTATCCAAGCAAAGACACTGTCTACAAACACAACCCAACACGATATCCCATTATGTGATTTCTGCAAAAGAACAGGCCACACCTTAGCCAACTGTAGGAAGTTCTGTGAAAAGACAGTTCAAGATCGTGTTAAGTTTGTTCAGACAGAAAGGCTTTGCTTTGGGTGCTTGAAGACAGGTCATCACTCTAAAAAATGTGAAAACAGAAACACATGTGAAAAATGTCAGAAAAAACATCCAACATGTTTACATGTTGACAACTTTTCAGAGCGTCAAACATCCAGATCTCCAAAGGGTAACGACAACTTAAAGGACAAAGCAGTAACCAAAGAACCAGTTTCAACAGGAACAACTAATAGAGTCATGCAGGCAGGCCTAAGCACACAGACATCCCCAATTGTGCCAGTCTGGGTCTCACCCTTAAAGAAGCCTGATCAAGAAATTCTGGTCTATGCTCTTCTAGATACGCAGAGCGACACAACTTTCATTCTGGATGAAGTGGCTCACGACCTAGACACAAGGAAAGAAAATGTTTGTTTACGGCTGTCTACTATGTCTAATAGGTCAACAGACATACCTTGTCAGAAACTGACAAATTTGCAAGTCAGGGGATTTAACCTAGACAAAAGAATCCCATTGCCACCCCTTTTCACAAGAGAGTTCATTCCAGCAGACAGGACACATATTCCAACTTCCCAGACAGCTCAAAGCTGGCCTCATCTAGAACAACTAGTTGACAAAATCCCACCACCATTAGATTGTGAAGTAGGCCTTCTAATTGGTTATAACTGTCAACAAGCCCTCCTTCCAAGAGAAATCCTGTCTGGTGAAGAAAATTATCCGTACGCTCAGCGCACAGATCTTGGATGGAGTATCATTGGTAGCTTTAGTGCAGCTAGTGATTACTGTGATGCAATAGGAACAAGCCACAGAGTCATAGTACATAAAGTGACACCTGACATGCAACCTGCATCAACATTAAGAAGAGAGGTGCACTTTGTATGCAAAACCCATGTCAAAGAAATAAATCCTATAGACATAATCAAAGCTCTTGAATCTGATTTCACAGAGCACACCACAGATGACATAATGGTTTCACAGGAAGACCTTCTCTTTTTGTCTAAAATGAAGGAAGGTATCAAGCAAATGGAGGATGGCTACTTTGAACTCCCGCTTCCTCTCAAGACAGTTAAACCTGATCTTCCAGACAACAAGCTCTGTGCAGTTCACAGACTCTCTGCCTTGGAACGGCGACTGAGGAAAAACGAGCAGTATTTCAAGGATTATGTCCATTTCATGAACGACATAATCAATCGAGGAGATGCTGAGAAGGTTCCCCAAGCTAAACTTGACAATAAACCAGCCTGGTATATTCCACACCACGGAGTATATCATCCCCATAAGCCTGGGAAAATCAGTGTGGTTTTCGACTGTTCAGCACTCTCTAAATGATAATCTCTTGACTGGACCAGACCTGACTAACACACTAGTTGGGGTCTTATGTAGATTCAGAAAAGGGTCGATAGCTATAATGTGCGACATAGAAAGGATGTTCCACCAGTTTCGAGTAGCAAAGAAACATCAAGACTATCTAAGGTTCCTCTGGTGGGACAACGGTGATCTGAATTCAAAACCCTCAGTCTACCAAATGAAGGTGCACCTCTTCGGGGCAGCTTCATCCCCTGGTTGTTCCAACTTCGGATTCAAACACCTTGCATCTCAGGGCCTTGGGAAGTTCAGTGAGGAGTCTGTCAAGTTCATAAAACGAAGCTTTTATGTAGATGATGGCTTAATTAGTGTTGACTCACCAGGCGAAGCCATCAATCTCATTGAGGAGGCAAGAGCCTTGTGCAGAACAGGAAACCTTCGGCTACACAAGTTTGTATCCAATAAAAAGGAAGTACTTGCCACAATACCACCTGAAGAATGTGTACATTCCAAAGATCTGGACATGACCCTCGGAGAACCTCATATTGAGCGAGCACTCGGAGTTCAATGGTGCATCGAATCAGATGAATTTCAGTTCAGGGTTGTGGTGAAGGCGAACCCACTGACAAGAAGAGGAACTGTTGCATCAGTTTATGACCCTTTAGGATTCGTAGCCCCTTTCATATTGGTTGGCAAACAGATCCTTCAAGAGTTATGCAGAGACAAAGTAAGCTGGGACGAAAATCTCCCTGATCACATTTTGCCAAGATGGGAGTCATGGCTTAAAGATCTGCCTCATTTAGTTGCCTTGAAGATCCAAAGAAGCTATTGTCCACCAACCTTTGGAAAGGTCAAGCATTATGAACTTCACAACTTCTCGGATGCGAGCTTCGATGGATATGGTTCATGCTCATACCTCAAAGCAACGAGTGAAACAGGAGAAATCAGTTGCTCACTTGTTATGGGGAAGGCGAGGGTGGCTCCAACCAAATTAATGACTATTCCGAGACTTGAACTGTCATCAGCTGTCACTTCAGTCCGTAATGGCAAAACCCTTAAGAAAGAGCTTGAGATAGAAAATCTAAAAGACTATTACTGGACTGATTCAAAGGTGGTTCTCGGTTATATCAACAACGACGCCAAGAGATTCCACACGTTTGTTGCTAACCGCATTCAGTTCATAAGATCTAACACTAATCCTGAGCAGTGGAGACATGTCAGCTCCGAAATTAACCCAGCCGACTGCGCCTCTAGGGGGCTAAGTGGAGCCCAGCTGAAAGAGTCTAATTGGCTGCAAGGGCCAGACTTTCTGTGGCAGCAGCATCCACTACCTCAAGGGGAAATGGTGGGAGAAATTGAAACAACTGACCCCGAGCTTCGTAAATCGTATGTTCAGGCAGTTAATACAAAAGAAAAGAGATCAGTGGTGAATCGTCTCACTAAATTCTCTGACTGGTCTAGAGCAGTGAAAGCTGTCGCTAGGCTCAAGAGACTAATTCGAATGTTTAAAGGTGTTCAGGCAAGAACAAATGACTCAACCAGTCTTGAGGAACAAAGAGAAGCTGAAATCTTAATCATTAGATTGGTGCAAGAGGAAGCTTTCACTGAAGATATACAGAAGCTAAAGCTCCAGAAACAATACTCACTGAGCAAACACAACAAGTTACATCAGCTGAATGCTTTCTTGGATGAAAATAACATTCTCAGGGTGGGAGGACGACTGTCTGAAGCAGCTTTACATTATAATGTAAGGCACCCTGCAATACTTCCAAAGAAATCTCATGTGTCATCCTTGCTTGTTAAGCATCATCATGAGCAAATATTTCACCAAGGGAGAGGCATGACAATGAACGAGCTGCGTGCAAACGGAATATGGATCATAGGATGTGGAAACGTGGTCTCATCTCACATCCATAAATGTGTGAAATGTAGGAGATACCGAAGAACACCTGAGGTTCAACAAATGTCAGACCTGCCGGAAGAAAGAACCAAGACCTCTCCTCCCTTTACTTACTGTGGTCTAGATTGCTTTGGTCCCTTTATTGTGAAGGAGGGAAGAAGAGAGTTAAAACGCTACGGGTTGTTGTTTACCTGTTTGTGTTGCAGAGCGGTTTACATAGAGTTACTAGATGACTTAACTACAGATGCTTTCATGAATGCACTAAGAACGCTCATAGCCATCAGAGGACCTGTGCGCCAACTGAGAAGCGATCAGGGTACAAATTTTGTAGGTGCCAGGAGATTGTTTTCTGAGTTATTAAAGGGAATGGAAAAAGAACAACAAAGAAAGATTGGCTGTGAATTTGTGATGAACGTTCCATCTGCGAGTCATATGGGCGGCGTATGGGAACGTCAAATCCGAACAATTCGAAGCATCCTGTCGGCCATGCTCGACAAATCTGCAAGCAGACTCGACACCACAACTTTGAGGACCTTTCTATATGAAACAATGGCTATAATCAACAGCAGGCCCTTGAGTGTTGAACATCTTCGCGATCCAACTGGTCCAGAACCTCTCACACCAAATCATATATTGACCATGAAGTCATCAGTTATTCTGCCTCCACCTGGAAAGTTCTGTGCAGAAGACCTTTATCTGAGTAAAAGGTGGAGAAGAGTGCAGTTCCTAGCCAATGAATTTTGGCAAAGATGGAGGCGTGAATATCTGCTTAATCTACAACAAAGGCAGAAGTGGCAACGAAAATCACGAAACTCACAAGTAAATGACATAGTGATACTGCAAGATGACAACTCACCAAAAAACGAATGGAAGCTTGGCAAGGTGGTGGAAGTTCAGCCCAGCTCAGATGGCATGGTGAGAAAGCTGAAGCTACTTGTCAGTGACACCCCACTTGAGAAAGGAAAACTACAAACCAGAGCTACTTACCTTGAGAGGCCCATCCACAAAGTAGTTACTTTAATAGAGGCCAACTAAGTTGTAGACTCAATCTTAAAGTTTTTCTTAGAAATCTCTCAATTCAAGTTAATGAGTGATTTGGTGGGAGTGTAAGTGCTTTTGAATTCTTGTTAAAATTAATCATTCATAATTTATGTTGTTGTTTAGGTAAAACTTTAAATGAGTAAATTCATGGACGTGTTATAAGATAAAATACGGGTTAATTTTATAATTTATTTCATAAGTTTGCTCTTTTCTGCACTGTTATGTTTAGCCAGGAACCAATGTTCATACTTGTGTACCACTACGTTAAATTTAATAGATGCTACACTATGAAGCAAGATTACAAAGCCTGATTCAAGCGTGTAAAGAACCTCTCTTCATGACAAGCGGCTAATGAGGTATTATTATTTGTTTTAATGATAAATCTGTTTATTCCTATGCAGCACAGAATCTTGCTCTTATTTGTACTTGTACACTGTTTGAGCTGATATATATATATTTGTGTCTGTACAGTTCTCACGGCATAAAAGTATGAACGTCATAAAGAACCTTAATGGAGTTTCATGTTGAACGACATGAGAGAAAAGACGAAATAAATGCCAGTTAAAGAGAAACCAATCCGTGTCTGTCGTGACGAGAGTTACAATGTTTTTATTTTGTAATTTATACCTGCACTACAAGAAAAAGCACAAGAACTTGCACTACTAATGTCTCACAAGATAATAAAGCAGTGACACAGTAACAATTCCTGACCCAAAACAACTGAAATATAAATGTTTAGAGCCAATAAAAGGTTGAGCCAGTAGAAAAGACGCAATATCCTTAGACGGCTGTCTGAAACTCAGAGCTTTGAAGAATCTGAATTGTGTTCTTTTATCTTTGTCTTCCATACTCGGCACAAAAAACAGAGTTGACAGGCCTCCAAGCCCCAAGGACAAATAACATTAGATTAGGCAGAAAAGGTTTTAGTTAGGAAGAAACCTGCTTGTTCTCTGATCCTTGCCACTCAAAATTCTCCACAGTATGCATGCTCCTCCCATTAGATCTGCACCTGCTGTTTGAAGTTAACCCAGCCCTCTGACTGCCTTCTTACCTTAATAGTCTGAATATGCAAATAAGAAAAAGATCTATACAAGCTAAAGAAAAACTGCCGATACATGCACTTGTGATTTTGCTCTTTTCTTTTTGTTTTTCATAAGCAATAGGATCACGCAATGCAAATTCAAATTGGTTACTCCTGTTCAGTTTTATCTAAAATATAGCAGTAAATTCTGAAGACATAAAAATAAGATGAAATGTATTCAATTGTATCTATTCGCATTATAAAAACAAATGCCTTTAAAACTGATTAAATGCTTTAATTTTATTACTATGGAGTTATGTGTGTGTAGGTAAGAAAAAATAAAATTTGTTTTGACAAAAAAAGGTGTTAGGGCTACTTAACAATTTAAAAATATGCATCCCAAGGAAGATTGCCATCCTTGATTTGTTCATCAGATATAAATATAAACTACATCAGTTCAGTTAAAATTTGTGCTTAAAGCTGCATCCATAATGTGCAAACTTGAAATTAGTAACACATGATAACTTACATAAACTCCTTATCAAACCAACAAAGAGAGAGAAATTGACATTAAAGAAAGTTTATTTTCCTCAGTTATATTGAAGAAATGCTCATATAAACTGTCAGCTCTTTATTTGTTACCCTTTTTGGTGGAAAAAAAACCAACATTACTCGTTATTTAAATTAACTGTAATTCAAACTAACGATGATCAAAAAGCAGCAATTTCAAATACTTGATTAAATAGATTTGTAAAAAAGAAATACAAGGGTGATCTTTGTGTCTTATCAACAATATCCAACTTCTTCGTTGAAGACAAAGTGAAAGGATTTTATTTAGTTTTTATTTAATTCAAACAAATGCAAGCATTCTGTGCCATATGAAGCTAGACCAAGGCCTAAAGACATATGCTGAGTTCAAATTCATGGGCTGCGTCCTCCGAAGGCCAGATTCGTAGGCCGATTACGTCATAGCGCGGCGCCGATGCATCCTTCTTTTTGCCTGTTTTGCAGGACGGGTCAAGCCTTGGATATAACGTAGTGATTCAAGTGATTCATTGCGAGTACAAGCGAGCCGGCTGCTCCGTAGGCCTATTCAGAGGAAAACAGTACTTGGCACCAAACAGTGGTGAATATTGGTTCAGTTTAATATAATACAAGTATGTGAATAGCTCTGTCTTAAACTAATGAAAATAATTATTTAAATGGTTATTGAGTGAGATATGTGTCAGATAATGTTTGATTTATTGAAATGTTTTCATATGTCCCTGTGTAAATGAGTTTGGCTGATATTTAAGGACAGATTCTAATATATCTGCAGTGTTGACTATAAATCTGATACGATGCAGCTATTGAAGCTCCTCGAAAATGTCATTAACACCCAGAACAGCAGGTAAAAGTTTCGTATTCATTCTTTTCCTGCTTTGTGTGTCAACTGTCATGGTTGCTGGGTGACAGAGCATATGGCGGTAAAAGCTGCGGAAGGCTAGACCTGTTTGAATCCACAGCCAGAAGTCTTCCGGTCTCCTTATTTTCATGGACCAAAAAGGATCCAGTCCAGGTAGACCGGGTCCTTGGAGGATGCAGTTTTTGTAATCGAACACACCCATCATCTCAGTCTGCAAGATTGAACAGCATTAAGCAGTTTCTCCACATTGCTCTGGATGACCATCTCCTGGTTTTTGTTATTTTGTGAAATACTTTCATTGACTAGGTTGGTGTATTAACAAATGTCTCGCAGAGCCTGTTTGAGAGTAACAATAGATGCTCAGTGTCATTTTTAAAATCAAATATTCTCTAGGGTTAACTACTGAGTCGCAAAGATTCTAATGGATAAAACTTTTGGTTATAGATCAGGAAAAAAAACATAATTTTTTCCTATTTTTGCCAGGAGTCCAGGCAGGTGTTTATACTCATTTCCATTTTCCACTGCTATCGGAAATTAATCAACTTTTTCTTCTTGAATGTTTGTGCCACAAGAATGAGATGTGACAATTAGGGATGAGTCATGTAACCTAAATCATGAACAGCTACTAACGATGAAGTATATGGCTAATTAGAAACATTTCTAAATTTAGGCAAAGATATTTTTGTCACATTTACTCTGTGGTTTTCTGCAGACATGCATGGGTTAATATGTGCTGAAATGTCTTTTTATTAATATTACATTCCATGGCTAAACTAATCGACTTAGACAATGTCCTTGCATTATCTCTTTCCATGCCTTCACCCTCACTGCTCCGGCACTGCAGCCACTGCACGGCTGGGAAAGTCTACTGCAGAAAAAGACCAGTGCACTTTATTATTGATGACAGCATGCAGCCATTCCAGTAATGGCTACACTAACAAGTAAACTTATGTGAAAAGAACTTTTAGCAGTTCCATATCCAGCCAAGAAAGAAAAATGCAAAAGTCATGTGGCTGGGTTCCACAAAACAGCCTGAAGGAAGAAATTCATGCTCACAAAGTTTGTTGGCAGATGTTATGTACAACTGTCTCATTTCATGCCCTCCTGGTTTGTTTTTTTGCCTGGAAAATTAACAACTGAAAATCAATGAATGCAGAATAGAGAAATCATGCACTGCATCTAAATATTTTACAAAACAAAGACGTGGATTGTGTTTGAAATGATAATGTTAGCCTCAACATTTTGGTTATAATTACAAGGGGATTTAGAAACCGGTACATGACAGGTAATAAAAAAATACGACCCAATCAATCAATCTTGAACAACTCACTTGGGAACAATGTAAGAGATCTTTGGAATAGATATTGTTTACTCACTTTTGTGCTCTCTCAATAAATATTTTAAACTTATTTCCACCTGGAACACCATTACAGGGATTTTCAAGCCTTCTTGACATTTACGAATTTCCATTTCCTTGTTTTTGCCACATCATCAATGCTAAACCTGTTTTTTCACCCACCTCTCTTTTCCATCTCTGTCCGAGCTACTTGTCAGTCACCTTCACTCCTCCTCCTCATCCACATCCTTCTACTCTGCCATGTTTTATGGCTAAAAGCTGTTATTCCGCTCGGCTGCAGCCCGACTCCTCTCTGTAATATTTCATTCATCAGAACAATTAAAGTGGAACATTGGTTTCCAGGGTGATAATTAGGGTTTGATGAGTGAACCTGAACACCACCAGGACAAGACAGCTTGATTACTCTCATTTGCTGGTCTCTGTGCTATTCAAGGGTTATTATCCATTGTCTTGTCAAGCAAATAGAGGAAGAAAACAGCCATGAAATGGAGAGAGGTTAGACCTAGAGAGACAGATAGAGACAGAAGTGTGGAGTTGGAAAGAGTCATGAGAGAGTTTGTTTGAGATGAGTGGCTTGTAATAGGAGCAGGTCTTTCAGATAGTGATACACCACATTAATTCTATTTCCTGCTGCTCTTCAGTAAAACACACATGGCTTTTTTTTAAACCCATACCTTTTTTTTTTCAACCAGTGCATTGAAGAGGATAAATTCCCTTGTGGAAAAAAAAGCAATCCTAAACTTGCATTCCCACTATTTTTCTTATCTATTTATTTCATTTTATCATCCAATTTCTCACCATGACACAATCGTTCAGTAATCTTTTGTTCATCAGCCTAGAAAAGATTTAAAAAAAGGAGACACTGTTAAGCTTTTAAAATTACTTCAGCTGACAGCATTTCAATGTATGCAAGATGGGTATTCATCAGACAGCATTCCTAAGCATCTGAAAATGATTCTTTAAAACCCAGAATAGGCTTTGGAGTGCATGAATCAAAACTATTAACAAAGCAAAATTGAGTATAACCAGAGTATCTATGTTTAAATACACACAACCATGTGATAAATGTCCAAATTATTCAAAATCTTTAGGTTTGTACGTTGCTTTTTGTCAGAATAATAACCAATCAATTCCGGCATTACCTCTCAAGGCTGAGACCTAGAAGAATCAGCCAAAGAAGTTGTTCATTCTACTGAATTCCAAGCAGTATGTCAGTATGAGTGCCCTTAACTATTGCAGTATGAATTAAAATGCAAAGAGGAAAGGAAAAGTTGTGCGGTGGAAGTTAAATAACAGCTTAAGGAAGCTGCCATTTCAAAACATGCAGCAGTGGTGTATTAAGCAGTTAAATGTTTAAAAGTACAAGTGATCCTCTTGTATAGACACAAAACATATTTGCTGCCAATTAGTAGCAAACTGCTTCCAGCCATCCCACTATTGTTTTTTTCTAAGGTCAGCTGAGTGACGTTCTGTGGGGCCGTAGTACTTACATCTCAATAGTAATCACTTCAAACTTAGGACGCCCCATTTGCTTAACGATTAAGCACAGTGAGGAGGCTGAATGAATTTTGCTGCTAATCCAATGCTATAATGAGCTTGGTAATTAGAGTTAAATGTTAATGAACAGTACATACTGAAATTCAAAAGGGTTTACAGCTAAACAATCTTGTATCAGGTGTCTCTAAACATCTTTAGTGTGATTGGATCAATAGAGGCACTAATGCAGTCAAATTTAGTGGGGCAGGAAAATTGTTGCCATAATAATAGGGAAAAAAAGAATTGCAAGTAA